TTTATGATAATAATTATTATATTACAACTATCACGCAGCGTAACTTATGATATTATCATCATCATAATTCAATTATCTCTTCAATTATATTGATTTCCATGATGCATACGTTAAAATATCACCATTAACTATTATATTCAAGCACGTATCTTTAATAAAATTTTCACTCTCGTATTTATTATTTAAGAAAAAAGAAAAAGAAAGAGGAAAGAAAGAAAAAGAAAGAAAATAAGAAAAAGAACGCTTTTACACTTACATATTTTGCGACTTATAAAATTACGAACAGAAAGTTACTTTATCGATGAACTGATCAATTAATTTTAATATGCGATAATAAACTGTGCACTCTTTTTTTATCATCTTTTCCATTAAAAAAAAAAATAAAAAAAAACATTCATTTGATGAAATTATTCGCGACATTTGTTATACAAAATTAATAGTATTAATGACCACGTATTTACATTGTTTTTACAATAAACATTTATCGTTAAGATCTATCGATATGATTGGAACTGTTATATACTGAAGATGTCGTTATTTATGACGTAATAATCGAAATCCTCCTTCTTCATTCGAGGTTATATTCCGATCGTACCCATTCCTATTCCTCCTGTTCCTTTCGCTTGACACTTTGCTCTGTCTTCCTCTCTCTCTCTTTCTCAATCTCTCTCTCTCTCTCTTCTTCTCTCTCTGTATCTCACTTCCACGCATCCGTTCTTTCTTTCTCACTCTATCTCACTTGCATGCTACTACATGCTCTCTCTTTCTCTCTCTCTCTACACACACACATTACATACACATACATAACATACATACACACATATATTCATCCCATAGCACGAACGTCATTCGCGACAACAAAGCTGCTTTGAAATAAACTGCGACTTCAGTGTTACAGTGACCGTGAGAGTGTAAAGTGTTCGTGGTTAGAAAGAAACTAGAAGAGAACAGGTAAGGATTTATCATTTTGGTTATGTCGATCATATAAGTAAATAAATATAGGTTTGCTTGTATTATAGATATCTCGATATGAAAAGTCTAAAGGCAATATAATTTCTAAAAGTATTCTCCTTTGATAGCCATATTCGTTGCCGCAATATTGTGATACGAATCTTCTATAAGGGATTCCTTCGTGTCTACGTATTTCTCGAGGTCGTTCAGAAAGAAGCACCTCGTGATTCTTCAATGTCACGAACATTTTTCTGAAATGACGACGTGAGAAAAAATGAAATTAAAAAGCGTGGTCTGTGAAATAGTGCGAGGAAAAGAAGGAAGAAAAGAAAAAAAAAGAAAACAAGTCATAGAAAAGATGGGATTACGAGCGAGAAATAAGATGTGAAATAAACTTTTCATAAAGAAAGTGAGGTTAGATTCGATCAACGTTGAAAGCACACGGCTACGAAATTTTAGAAAGTAGTTTTTGGAACGTCTACTTTACAAAATTATATACCAAAAGGCCAATCAGAAGTTTTCTAAGGCCAGTTTATCTATCCTTCTTGCAAACATGAGAAATTCTCATTCGCGACGACGCATAACGTATATTTTAGAGAAACATTCTATATTTTATACATTCGAATATTTTAAAAAGAAGTAAGGAGAAAAATGTTCTCTTTTATTTTTTCTTCATTGAATATTTTTCTTATCTTTTTTTTCCTTATCTTTTTTTTTCCCTTCCCTCGCCATTAAAAATCTCGCCTCGTTAAAATTTTAACGATGCTATAATGTATAAATGCGTATGCAATTATTTTTAAAATAATTTACAATTTATGATGAAATTTCTTGATATATAACTTTTCAAACTTCCAATATCCACGAGTCATCTACATTTCATTAAAGTAATTCATAGGCGCCACGTTTTTTTTTAATTAAAATAGAAACTAAGTTTCTTAGAAAAGGATCTTATATACGCATACATATATACATAGATACATATACATACATACAAACGCACACGTTTGTATTACTTTTCTCATATATTAGTAAAGATAAGAAAGAATGTTTACGTAAAGTTTATCTCAGATTTATCCTAAGAGAAAAAATTGAAGTTATATTTCATAAAAAACTATTGTATAGCTATAACTATCAAAAATATCAAAATTCATAGCAACGATTTCAAACGTCATGTTGTTATAAATCGAATGTTTTTTCTTTTTTTTTTTTTTGAAAACTGGGAAAAGTTCATGTATATATACCGATATAAATGAAATATATACGTATATAAATAAAATGTTTACTTGTGATTAAATAACAAATATTATTTGGTAATAATTCTTCGTAATATCATAAAAATAATGACTTTTCTTTTTTTTTTTCTTTGTTTTTTTTTTTCCTTTTTTTTTTCTTTCTTTCAGAAAATGTTCAACGCAGGAAGTCTCAGTGCCTTATTAACAGGACTATTGGTCATTGTCGTCATACCGGATGTTTTGTCGTATTCAAGTATGTATTCATTAAAATCTTATATTTAACGCTTCTGTATATTTCTTCTTACTCGTTATCTCGATTGTGTTTCCTTTCCTGCTGATATCACGAGTAACATAATAAAAAGGAAAACATTTTATCAAAGGTAAAAAGGTCAACGAGATTATGAAAGCGTAGCCAAAGGAAGCTCAACTTTCGTTCAGTTCAAGAATTGATAAAAGCTGTATGAAAAGAAAAAAAAAATAAATAGTCTTTGTTTTATAATTATAGCATGGGAAAAATAATAAATAAAATAACAAAGGTTTTTATCTCAACGACGTTGCTTCATTATTAAGCTCCAAATGGTCGGTATCTTAAAGTTGCAACTTGTATAAAATATCCATTGGTACAGCGTTTAACTATTACATGAAAAAAAAATATATATATATATGTGTGTGTGCGTGAATATATAAATGAAAGAACAAAGATTACTTTTTTAATAACGTTGACTCATTACAAAGCTCCAAATGGTCAGTATCTCGGAGGTTGAACATGTATAAAATATGCATTAGTATAACGTGTAACTATTGTATGAAAAAAAAAAATATATATATATATAAATAAAGAAACAAAGATTTTTAACTTAACAACGTTGACTCATTACAAAGTTTCTAAAATTTCAAATGTCTAATACCTTAATGATTGAACATGCATGGAATATGGATTAAAATAGGATGTAATCCTATTGCATCGGTACAATTTATCGGTTTCTTTTTGAATTAACGTGAATACTCGTAAGAGATAGAAAATCGAATAGAATCTAACCGCGATCTTTCCCATCTTTCTCTTGATAATTGAAAATCAATGGGGTTTCTTAAGCAACGACGCAACCACGGTTGAAATAGAGTTACAATTATATCAATGGATAGGCGTGGCCAATTTAAAGACCCTCCACCCCTTCTAAAAATGCAGGAAGATGGTAGTTTTATCTGAACAAATTTACGTTACGGTAAATAGAAAGGAGTGAAACGACTAATTACATTTACATGATTAATTACAATTACGATCTTGAATCCCTTGACAATTTATCAAATTGTATTCCCTCTCAAAGGCTCTATTGTATCGTCATTTGAAATATTTTCAACGTGTTTACAATAAGTATTTTCAATATTTATCAATTGAATTTATTTATTTCGTAAATTATATTTGAACTTTATTATAATCACGTTAATATTATGCAGTCACGATAATTATATCTTTTATAAAAAAAAAATCAATGGGGTTTCCATAATTTTAATAAAAAATTTCTTTCCTACACGATCTTTTCTTTATATCGACTGAATAAATATTTATATATCATACGTACATATATATATATATATCATTTCAGAATACGGAAGGAACTGCAAGGATATTGGATGTAGGAGTGATGAAGTCTGCGTGATGGCCGAGGATCCTTGTACGGATTACTCAAATAAATGTGGTCGTTATCCAACTTGCAAGAAAATGAACGACAGAGGTAAGCTGAAAAGAAAACTTATTTAAAATACCATTTAACGTTTTATTATATTTAATTGATATTATTAGAAACAATTGCATTTATAAATTAAATTAATTCGAATAGAAATAAAACCATTGAAAATCGTTTCGATTAAAAAGGGATTTAGTATAATAAAAACACACGTACATGTCGCGTTAGTATTATTTTAATTTGTAAAACGAAATATAGAATACCTGACAATTTTTTTTTTTTTTTAGTCCTTCGATGCTTTAAAAAAAAAATAAATAAATAAAAAAATCGATACATAAAACGCTTTTAATCTAATCGTAAGATTCACAATATCAAAATTAAAATATTAAAGATAGAAAATATTATTGAATCTATGGAATTTTATAAAATTAACGTGTACAATAATTTTTTGACGAAATATTGAATTTCTTCTTTTACACGTCGCTTTCGAATATTTGGATAAATTTAAAGTCTGATATGTAATATATACCTATCTACGTTAAAAAGACAGATCTACGAAGTTTGTAATTATAGCCAATAATGATATTATATCTTTCATGAGAATTAATGACACTTGTGCATGATATTACATATGCATGAGATCGTGCGCATGTTTTAACTTTGTTAATGCGATCCTTCTATCTCTTTTCTCTCTCTCTCTCTCTCTCTCTCTCTCTCTCTCTCTCTCTCTCTCTCTCTCTCTCTCTCGCTTTCTCTCTTTATGGAGTATCATTAACCTGGCAACTCATCTCCGCCAAAGTATGACAAACTTCTTTCGACGTAATGCTTACACTACGACCGAATGAGTAACAATATATTCATCGATAGTTATCGATGAAAATATGGGGGATTATAAAAAATTAATACTTCTCTGAATGATATTAAATGTTGATGTTACTTTAAAATGATGCCGCTTTATAATATTTTCCTACAGAGACCAGTTGTGCGAGTATCATTTGTAATGAAAATGATTACTGCAGAAATGAAAATGGCATACCGAAATGCGTAAGAAAGGTAGCATCAAACGGTGGGTATTAAAACGGCAAAACGATAAGTTCTTTTTATTTTATTAATAAACCACCGAAATCATTAATCGAAAATCATTAAAGCACATTAATATATTCCGATATAATATGTCGCACAATAATTTTAATCCTTTGCACTTTAATATATTTTGAAGGCTGATGTTTTCTCGGAAAAATTTAAAAATTAAGACAAAACGATGAATAAATAAATGATAAAAAAAAAATATGTTTAAAAGCTTTTAATGTTATTCGTTTATTGTTTTAATTTATTATAAAGATTATGAATAGATTACACGTTAAAGTGCGAAGGATTCATTTTTAACGCTTGCTTTTTTTCCTTTTTCTCTTTTTTTTTCTTTTTTTTTTTTTTTTATCACTGTAATATTTTTATTACTAATTATTGCATGTTCAGTACGCGTTTGTAGTATTATAGACATTGTAATTTTTTTGGGGAATAAAAAATAGGTACGACCGATGTAGTTCACGTAAATAACTAACATTATCTTATTATTATTTCTATGCAAATTTTCAATTAATGTTAATTTTATAGATATCGCAATTTTAAAACTGAAATTCGTATCGAACCAAAATTATTATACTTTTGGTATGAAACGATTTTCGTTGCGAATAGCTTCACTTTTTTGTATAAATTTTTTATCAATCCATCAAGCCGTCCAGGCGGTAGAATGAATGGACACACACACATATATATATATATATATATATATATATATATCTATGTATACATATATTTAGATTTTTATATGAAACGTGAAGATTCAAAAGGATTTTCGGATATCTTTCTTAAAGTTCGTCTGTTACATATTTCGATATATCAAAAGCATGAGGAACTCCCTACGGTCGTGCCTAAAAATCGTTTGAATTATTTAACAGAGCTCTGATATCCAAATAATAAAATAGAGCCGCTATTTATTTGGTCAATATTATCAAAATTTTGGATCAGTATTTTAAATAAATGGTCAGTATTAATAACAAAGTATCAGTACATAATATAAACATGATTAATATTACATCGGTCAATCCATGACGTAATAATTATTTATACTGACCAAAATATTCGTATAATATTGATCATTTATTTTACAAAATATTTATCATTGATTAATAAAAATACTGATTCAAATAAATAAAAATGATAAAATAGGGAATATGTAAAGGACAAATAAATCGGTGGTATTGCACTTTTCCTGAATTAAACCAAGTAGTTACAAATTATCATCCATGGTCATAACTTGATTTTGTATTACGAAAAAAAAAAAAGTAAAATATTTCAATAATATTTGAACTTAGCATGTGTATGAACTTTCCTTAATATATTCCATTTTAACTCATAAATACCCTTTCAGTTGATCCATTTGACCCTTCGAGCAGTACGAACGTACATTTACGTTTTGAATTATGCACCGATCTAGTACTGCTGTTAATTTACATGTAGTCCTTAATATTTTAACGCATCTACTCGTTTATATACACTTGTTGTATATAGTTCAATAACACTATGAAAGCTCATTGCTCAAAGGATTAAAACATTGTAACGTGGTTTGTTAATAATTAAGAGTAGTATAGTTTGCACCAAAACTCAAATAAGATTTTACTTAGTATTTATTAGAGAGTTTTTCAAGTACCAGGAGTAAATTCAAAAAATGTTCCTTTTTTTTTTTTTTTTTTTTTTTTTTTTCTTAACGTTACTACATGAAAATCAATTTTACTTCGAATAATTTGAGAATGTGAAAAGATGTATATTTTATATCACGTTTTGTTTTAAACGCGATATATTATTAGATTGAAATTTACTACAGGTACTTAGAAACATAGAAGCAAAAAAAAAACGAACGAAAAAGAGAGTACTTTTCAGGATTCGAATCGGCTGGTGTCGATATTGTGAATGGTCAACACGTCAGCAGTAGCGATACTAACAAACACACGAATACCAACACGAATCCGTTTGCTAACGCGAATGCACCACCAGCGCCCGCTGATCCTATACCCGGGGGAAATGGTTATCATCAAGTAAACTCTGGTACCAATCTAGGTTATCCTTCTTATCCAAGCAATGTAGGCACTTCGAATAGCAACCATGGTTATCCACCATATCCGTCAACGAATCGAGAAAATCAACCGCGAACTGATAACCTTGGTTATCCTCCATATCCAACTATGAACAGAATGCCGCAACCTGGTCAAGGATATCCTGGTCAAGGTTATCCTCCATATCCAGGACAATCTGGATATCCGCAAACAGGCTATCCACAACAACAGTATCCGAATGGTCAACGATATCCAGTAGGACAATATTCTGGATATCAAAATTATCCGAATCAGAATCATCGTGGATATGCTTACAATTCAAATTCTCCATATCATAAAAATGGTAGCATTGGACAATCTGCATCTTTAACGACCGTTTGCTTGATTAGCTTAGCCTTGATATTTTTCAATCGGTCGTGATTATGAAATGATTTTGCTTTTTTTTTTTTTCTTTCATCCCTAATTATTAAACGGTGCATTGCTATCCTCGATTCAAAAATAAATTTATATAACGTTCTAAACGTATTTTATAAAGCATATCTATGCAAAATAATTTCGCATAAATTTTAAACGGATTCATTTTCTTAATGCTTTTAATAAAATAACAAATTCGATTAAGATAGAAATAGATGAAATAGTTTGCGAAGTTTCTATTTAAATGCAACATGTACCTGATGATGTATAATTATTTTTATGTTAGAAATTTGCTATATAGTTTAATTTATATACCATGACAATTTCAATGTGCAGTCTTTACAAATGTGGTCGTAATGTTTACCGTCCAATTGCTTTATTAAATGATTGCTGGCAATGCACAGTGCCTTCGTATGTGACGCATATATCTATATGTATACATTCATAAGAAAACTATTTATATGTATATACATAGATGATCAATACTCGTATATAATGGCTGATAAATTGATATATATATATATATATGTATAATAAAATATCCTCTAATAGAAATTAAAATTATATTCTTATAGCGATTGTTAATATTTAATATTAATGAATCTATTTTTATTGATATTTATTGCGATTATTCTATACAAATCATGTGTATTTTAGATAATTCTTTAAAGATATGTATAAAAATCAAGTGTTAATATGATAAATTTTATCTGCTTTGCCTATAATTTCATCTTGTATATTGCAACATTTTTCAAAATTTTTTAATTATATATATATATATTTTTTTTTCTCTATACTAATATTAATTTAATTTATGTAATTTATGATATGCACATAAATAAAGAAGAAATATAGAACTGTCCAAATATCAATCTTAAATAAGATGTATTAATCTGGATTGGACATATCCTTGATTTGACCTAAACAAAACATTAACATCACATCCTTGCAAATGTAAAAAACATAAAACATATTTACTTTATATTACATCAACAGCATGCAGTTTTAACTAACTGTAACCAAACAATTTTTTTTTAATTTAACATAAAAACATCAATTGATTTAAAGGAACTTCTGGAAAGCATCTAATTATATATATATATTTTTTTTATTTTTGACTTGATAGTATTACTTTTGACATGATATTTTAATATAGCAATAAATTTGTTGATTATCGATCTACGATTTGACAGTACCATATCCAATACCATCACCAACACCACCACCAAGAGCATATGGACCTGGCAGATCATCTGGACGTTCTGGATCCAGAAATACTATCGGTGATAATTCTATCTGGAATCGATTGTTTGGAGATGATCGTAATCGTGGATCTAATGGCCGTTCGAGTGGCAGATCTAATTCTCACCGCACAAGAGACGATTATTATAATACTCACGCTTCCACTGATAATCGTGGCAATAGAGTCTGGACTTTCTCTGGTTAAAATATAATTTCTCAACTAAAACAATTTCTTCTTTCTTAAATTCTTATATTACTTTCTTCAGTTATAAAAGAGTATATTATTTTCTTTATAAATGTTATTCTAATTTCTTTTTGCTTCTTTATTATGAACATGCAATATATATACATATATATATATATATATATATATATATATATATATATATATATATCTTATTTTTAATGTAATCATATTTACGCAATATATTATTCATAAATAGTAATAACAGAAATTATGAATATCTATGAAGTACCATCTGTAATGAAAAATAAAAACTTTTCATTTCTCTATATGCCATTTTTAAATATTATTATACACAGTTTTTCCTGTTAACTTAAAACTTACTTTTTTTTAAATGTAAAAAAATAATTTCATAAAAGGTATTGTCATAAATTTTATTTATATACAAATACTCTATTCAGAATGATTGACATTTATAATAATTTATTTGATTTACAACATTTTATACATGCAATTCACATGAAACTAAATTTATTATCATATATTAGAGTATAATATAAAGAGGAACTTTTAATATGTATGAAAAATATAGTCTATTAATCCTATATCTTTTAAGAATTACATTTGATTTATTTGAAATTACGCATGTAAATTGTAAATCCTAAATGATATAATACAACATGCTTTACAGCTTCTTTTTTACCTAAAAATTTCTAGAATTCATAAATATAAGATATTATTATGCAGTTGTAGGATCAATACACAATAAAAATACTAAATTCTATTATAAGCTCTTAAGTTCTGAATTTTTTAAATAATGGATGTTTATTAGCTGTTGAAGAACTTGGTGCTTTTTTATATTCATAATAAACAGCATCATCTGCTCCTGATAATGATGTCATATTTCCTGCTTTCATTGTAACTGATCGTACACCTTCCCCAGGAATTCTTTCCTCATCTGCATCCATATCACTGGCTGTAAGAACTTGTTGCAACAACTGACCTTGTTCTTCTCGTACGCTATACATTAAATCTGGCTCATCGTCCATACCTGCCAACTTAGTAATAACTTTATAAGCATAACCTTGATTAACAAGAAATCTTTGACGTTTTCTTGAATAGTTCATTTCCATAGTATCTTGTGATACTAATGTATAAAAGAAGGCATTATATTCTTCTGCAATTGCGCCTTTTTTAGCTCTCAATATACGTCCCAAACGTTGAGCTTCTTGACGTCGGGAACCACCATGTGAAGAAATTTGAATTAGTACATTTGCTTCTGGTAAGTCAAAAGAAGTATCAGCTACTTTACTGACAAATATCGTGTTTACTTTTGTATTAAATTTAAAATTTTGCAATATCTGTATACGTTCATTTTGACTAGTTGGTCCATAAATATAGGGTTTATTCATTTTAATAGCATAATGTTTTAATGCAAATACATTGTCTGAGAAGACAATTGTTTTATCGCCACGTCTTTCATGATATCTAATCAAATATTGACAACTTCTAAACTTATTTGGATTCATTACATACAATAACAATTTCCTATTTATTTTACATCCTAGATATTCCCTATAAAATTCAGGTGTCATGGGACACCATACTTCAGCACACTGAACTCTGGCAATGAATCCTCGTTTTTGTAGTTCCAACCAATTGGCTTCATATAATTTAGGGCCAATTAAAAAATTCAAATCTGCAATTTTATCATCCTCTCGCAATAATGTAGCTGTTAATCCTAATTTACAATGAGACTGTACAATTGTTAATACTCTTCGAAACATCTTAGCAGGAATTGTATGTACTTCATCCAAAACCATAATTCCCCATTCCTGTTCTTGTAGCCATCGCATAGTTTGTTCGGCCTCCCACGAACGTTTCTGCGTATGTGTTATCATAGAATATGTAGTAATTAAAATGCCACAACCCATAGGCTTATCTTTTGCTTCGCTAGTAAATCGACAGATCATAGAATCATCAGCAGTAGACCACATTTTAAATTGCTGTTTCCATTGTTCTACGGATACTCCAGAATTACAAAGTACCAAAGCACGCTTTCGTACTGTACAACAAGCTGTTACACCGACTAAACTTTTTCCTGCGCCACATGGTAATACTATTACACCTGATCTAGCACGTCCATTGCCAAACATTTTACGTAAACTTTTCTCTTGATAAGGCCTCAAAACTGCAGATGGTTTTAAATCAATATTTATATCAGGATTAACATTGTCATTGCGAAAATCATATTCTGCCAATAACGGATATTCCAATTCTATACATCTCTTTTGTATAACTTCAATTTTTTCTTGATTTACTTCAAAACTAACAGTTTTTAATTCTTGTTCTTCTTCTTCGTCTTCATCTTCTTTATCAATTTTTTCATAAAATGTAGTTATATCCTCTGGTATAGCAGCCGTTTCTGATGGCGTTTGATCAACTTTAGTTTCAGGAGCAGTTTGTTTAGCAGTAACTGCTTGAGCACTTGGCAATGGCTTTGCGCCAAATTTTATATTCTTTACTTTATTTTGAATATTTGTTGTCACTTCATCCTTTTCTAAATCATCTACATTTTTTCTTAATCTACATTGCTGTATAACAGGATCCTTCAGAAGTGTTTGTAATACTTCTGGGAATGGTGATTCCACAAAATATTTATTACGTTTTAATACAAGCTTTACTTTCCCATATGATAATGTACACAATTTTATAAATTCTATAATACCATTAGGTATACTCGTTTTACTTAATCTTTTCAAATATTCTATTATATCATGAGTTTGAAGACCCACACTAACAGCAGCATACAAAGAATATGCCGTTAATTTATATTCGTGAATATGTTCTGGTCGACAAACGGGTTCTGATATTGCTATCAAAAAGTCATGGGCGTGCTTATAAACAGGCGAAAATGATTCAAGAAAAATATGTCCATTTGGAGCTACCCATAATGGTCTAGATTCACAATCGGCTTTCAGTGTCATTTGCGAACGATAATCTTTTGCACCAAATTCATCTTCTAATACAGTTTCATCTTGTTTTTCTATATCAGTTTTGGCAGCGTCTGGAATACCCTCTGTTTCTACAACATCAGTAGAATCATCATCCACGCATTCTTCATGATCTTCTTTCCTTTTTTTCCATTTGCCTCTGTCATTATCTTTTTTGAAACGTTTTGGTGGTGCCATTCTTTAAAAAATCCAAATTCCAACAGACATTAATAAGATCAAAAGCAAACAGAACTGACCTCACTAACTGATCTGCCATAAAATTAATCAGTGTTTAAAAAGGCTGTTTTACAGATAAACATTGAAGACACTAGCGCCCTCGAATTCCTTCTACTGCCATCTTTCGTTGGAAAATTTCAATTACAGTAAAACAATTCTCAGCTGTATTTTCCAATTCCATTTAGACGTTGACACCCTTACAACGGATGCAATGAATATCGTAACACTTAATGAATTTTTAAAATCTTAAAAAGAAAGACAAGTGTCATTGATCAATTGATAAATGAAAATGAAGCGTTCAAAAAGTGAAATAATAAATGCTACGGTCGAATCGTATTTAAAACGACGTCATTATCAAGTAAAATTTTTGGTTAAATAGATCTCTTCGAAATTACAATCACTTATAAATATTGTAACATAACCCTAATTATTTGTTTATTTACATAGCAAGCTGGTGAATTTCTTTGTAAATCCGATCAGTCAATCTGCCAAACTGGCGATGAAATGACTCTTAGTGCAACAGTTAAGTGGGGTATATCCAGGGATAATTCAATTGTCTTTAGTGCTATTACTATTGATACAGCTGCTGCAGATCAAGCATATGAAAGGTTCCCTTTTTTTTTTTTTACTTCTTTTTCATAGTTTGTTTAACAATTATGTAAAAGCATTGTTATAAAGTTGAATGATCTGTTTATATACTTTTCAAATATAACGTTAGTCTGAAGCGTTTACAAAATAATTCAAATTACTTAAAGAGCAAATATATAATTAGTATTTTCTATCTCTTTATATTTACATGAGTTAGATTAGACATAAATTAGTTTTTTTTTTGTTTAACCAAACACTTCTGAGTATATATATATATATATATATATATATATATATATATATATATATATACATATACATTTTTTCTATATATATGTATACATTTTTTACTATATATATGTATACATTTTTTCAGACTAAAGATGTGGGTAAATGTTATACTTAATGATAAATTGAAAACAGAGCTGAAAGGTCTTCTATATCCAGTATTTTGCCATCTTTATTTAGAGATGTTACATGCTGGAAATAGACAAGCTGCAGTACAGTTTTTAAAATCTCATCAAGGTGAATTTATTAGTGAAACGGAAAAGAGTTTTTTAGAAGAACTTTCCAATGTCTTTTCTATACAAGATATTGAATTAAAACCATTAGTAAATGCATTTAGAACTAGAAAATATAAAGTGGATATGTCAGATGTAGCTCATATATGCCTTCAACAATTTCTTAAAAAACATGGACATATAACATTAATGCAGGTAATGTAACCCTTTTGAATTAATAAATTAAAATTAAAATTATAATCATATTTGTATTATTAAATTCTTATAATAAATATTTAAATATTAAAAGGTATGCTCCTAAGATATTAATCTTCTTAAAGTTAATGCGATATAGTATATAAATCTAATAATATTTAATTATTTCCTACAGATAATAAATACACATGTCACTATAATTAAAAAGGTAGATTCTATTCCAATGGATACTGATTCAAATGAAAGTAGAGGACAGCGTTCTGAGATTGGAATTAATGGACATGTCGAGCAACCATGTGGAACTGGAGTTGATCGTGAAATGCGAGAACTGCAAGAAGCTATACGACTGATACAAAATAATGCTTGGCAGCCATTACGCATGTTTACTGTAAACAATGCTATTGAAAAGTAAGTTTATACGATATATCTAATATATAGCAATCACCAAGTACAATGTATTAATTTTTCTTTATTAAATCATAAAAAATATGAGCAGTACATTAGTTTATGGTCAAATATTATAGTTAAGAAATATTACAGATATTAAATATCACTATTTTTTTTTTATTTTTTATTTTTTTTTTTTTATATATATATATATATTTTCTAATTTTCAGTGCAAGCTGTGGTATGGTGGCATCTAATTTAGATAAAGTTGCCGTAGGATTTAGCACTGCTGAAATAAGATTATGGGGTACAAGTGAGACAGTACTAGTTAAACCAGATTTTAGAGAACCATCTATTTCACTTGCTCGTAGCGTTCCACCTTGGAACAAATTCAGTGAGAACAATCTCTTTAGAGATGAAGCAGGAGCAATAGTATTAAGGGGACATACTGATGTAATACATGACATGCGATTTATTCCAAATGCAGATCTTCTTTTAACAGTATCTAGCGATAAAAATATGCGAGTATGGAGATTGCAGGATTATACTTGTGCTGCTATATATAAGTATGTATAGCTCCCTTAATTACTGTATTTGTGTTCTGTCTATAATATAATAACGAATTTGTGCACTTGGGACGATATGACCTGCTTTATTAATAATTTATTCATAATTTATTAATAATCCTTAAAAAAGAAAATACTTTCAGATTCATCTTATATATTTGAACTCAACGTTGCAAGGTTGTAACGTATGATTATAAAATTGTCCTTGCAAATGATTAAAAAATGATGAGAAAAAATCAATAAGTAAGTAGCATAGCATAATTTAAACAATATTATTATGAAATTGATTCATGATCAATTTATTTACATATTTACATTTTGACTATTTTCGCATGTAATTATCACTGAGTACTTTATTGCTAGTGCACAGAATTATCATAACATATAATTATAAAAACAAGTTGAAAACACGCTTCTTTATTATTGAAAATGTTAAAATACACATTTTTCTTTGTATTAAAAATGAGCTTCATTATTTATTATACAATTGAAAATAGCAAATATTAAACAGGTCATGAAATTCAAATGCTCAAATTCGGCAATAATTTATATATTGTACATTATGTTTGATATAATTTATTCAAAAATATATTTATTAGGAATAAATAAAATTTCTTTTTTTCTAGTGGACACAACTATCCTATATGGTGCATGGATACTAGTATATTTAATTTGTATATAGCAACTGGATCTCATGATAGAACAGCAAAATTATGGTCTTTAGATAGAAAATTCCCATTAAGAATATTTGCAGGACATTTTTTAGACGTAAATGTGTGTAAAAATTTTGTCAATATTATTATTATTATTATTATTATTATTATCATATATCACTAAAGAAAGAATATTTCTTGTAAAATAATAATAATATCATTTCCAGAGCATAAAGTTTCATCCAAATGCTCGGTATTTAGCAACAGGATCTGCGGACAAAACAGTCAGATTGTGGGATAAAGATGATGCAAATTTATTAAGAGTATACGTTGGTGCTCAATCGACTATTTATAGTTTAGCTTTTAGTCCAGATGGAAAATATTTAGCTGCTGCCGGTAAAAATATTTATAACAAAAAGGCATTATAATTATTTTATGCCTATACATTATTTTTAAATCTCTATTTTATTTAATTTATGCAGGAGATGATAAGTCTATTGCAATTTGGGATTTAGCAACTAATTCATTATTGACTGAACTTAAAGGTCATCAAGATACAGTCATGAATGTAGATTGGAGTTTAGATGGACAGTATATTGCTAGTGCCAGTGCCGATGGCATAGTTCGTTTATGGTCCACGCAAGATAATATTTTAGTTTCTAATAAGTAAGTTGAATCAATTTATTGGGTTGGCAACTAAGTGATTGCGGATTTCAAATAAGAAGGAAACGACAAAATCCGCAATCACTTAGTTGACAACCCAATATAACTATTATACATTAAAGACATAAATATTGATAAATTCATTCTTTCACAGTGGATCAAAGACGTCATCTAATAAAACAGAAAATTTTCATACATATTCAACATATTGCTCAAGCATACTTTCCCTTCGATATTATGAAAAGAACAATTCATTAATTTGTATTGGAACTACATAAAAAATATAATATTTTAATAATAACTAAATAAAATGACAATATATGTTTCGATTATGTTAAATGATATAATTTGATTTTTTAATACATATATGGAAGATTATCTTTGGCTTCGTAATATGTCAATAATTACAGAAATGTAAAGGTGGTAAGTAACGAAAGTCGAACTAAATTTCATGTCTGTGAAAAGAAAATATCATGAAAAATATGATTCTCATTAAGTCCTTATAATAATTATATTCAATAGAAGTTACTTTTAATAACTTTTATAATTATATAATATTAAGCGAATATACATATTATTTATCTATGTAATCCTATAGGGAAAAAATGATCAGAAATTTATTTTTTCTTTTCTTAAATTTCTTCATTCTTATTATATATGTTGTGTGGCGTGTTGTTTGTATAGTATATATAGACTAATTAGATTAAGTTTATATATTAGGTGGACAAGAAAGTAATGTCGCTTTCTTAAATTAAATTCAAACGAATAAATTTTTAACAAGTTTTTATTTTTAATCAATAATGTAATCACCTTCGTTATCAACAACCTTTTGCCATCTAATGTGCAAATTTTCAATGCCGGACCGATAAAAATCAATTGGTTTTTGAGTAAAATATCTCGAGATGGCATTTTGGACATCACCCAAATTTTCAAATTTTTTGCCACTAAGAAAATGTTGTAGAGATCGGAATAAATGGAAATGCGAGGGTGCGATATCGGGGGAATATAATGGGTGAGGCAGTACCTCCCAACCCAATTCATTAGTTTTTTCCAAGATTCGTCTTGTAGAGTGCGTGTCTTGCAGAATAACGCCTTTTTTGTTGACAAACGTCGGATACTTTTCGATTAAAGATTGGTTCACTCGATCCAATTGTTCACAATAAAGATCTGCATTAACAGTTTGTCCAGGTTTCAGCACTTCAAAATGAACAATTCCGCATATACTCCACCAAACACACAGAAGCGCCTTTTTGGGATGTAAACCCGGCTTTGCAGTACTTCGTGGCGATTCATTTGAAAAGAGCCGCTGCCTTTTGCGTTTTGAATTATCATATAGGACCCATTTTTCGTCTCCAGTGATCAAGCGATCAAAAAACGGTTCTGTATGGTGCCGTTGAAGCAATACTTTGCATGTGATGGATCGGTTAGCTTTGTTCTCTTCGGGCAGATTGTGAGGGACCCAAACACCTGCTCTGCTTATTTTTCCAATCTGCTGCAAATGTTCTTGGATGGTCGACCAAGGTTGATTAAGGGTGTTTGAGAGTTCCTCGATTGTCTGACATGGATTTGCTTCCACTTCTGCCCTTAGCATGTCGTTGTTTAATGTTATTGGTCTTCCTGATCGATAGGAGTTAAAGAGATCAAAATTACCGGATCTGAATTTAGAGAACCATCTTTGACATTTACGAACGTCTAATGCACTTGGATAAACATCGCAAATATTTTTGGTCGCAACTATTGCATTACTACCCTTGCGAAACTCAAAAAGCATACAATGCCGGATATGTTCTTCTGGTATTGGGCTGGTCATTTCACCCCAAATTGCAAAAAAAGTCTAATATTTAATTATTTAGAAGTGAACAAGTCACAATAACCTTAAAGTGTCTCTGACACGACTTCGAAGTCACAATGAGCTGACAAATGACAATCAAATATCGACATGCGCAGAAACATTATTTTCCGGTCTCCCTAATATGATACCACGTGACAAATACGTCATTTTTATTCGTTCCCTTATTGGCTAATCATAAGCCACGCATGCGTATATGTAGATTATATGTATATGTATATTCATACTTTGGTTAAAAGAGCGCTAGCAATGTGTAAACATTCATTTACCCTACCTGTGGATTGGCGACACTGGTATTCACACGCGTGCGCGCTGTCAGCATGATCAACATGACTGTTGAAATATGTTTATGGCGAGTATTAAATGAGTGGACGTGTAATTATATATAATTTGCAGTAAATTGTTATATTTTGTTAACATATAAAGGTATATAAATATATCCTTAATAATATATCGTTTATTTGGTCATTTTCTCAAGTGACAGAATTGTACGGGGAAAGAAAAAAACAAAAAAGAAAGAAAAAGAAAAAACAACAAAAATTATATTCTATTTTAACCTTGCTTGTAAAAAAAAAGTTAGTACAAGAAAAAAATTCGAAAATTCCTTTCTGTAAATTAATGATATGATTCTAACTTATAATTATTGGCTAATATTGCCATAAAAGTGAGTAAAATTGATAATTGTTTAATTAAGTTTTTTAATGGCATTAAATAAAAACTTCACCATCTAGTCTTCTCTTGTATAATGTAATTTAACGCGATTATAGTTCATATACATATGTATATATGTATATATATATACATATAGATATGTATATATATAAAATTTAATTAACAATTATAGAAAATTTCTTTGCAACTATAGTTTTTAATAATTCGTTGTTATCAAGTGTTATTAAAACAAATTACAGAAATTTTACAACAAGGGATGTTGGTCTAATAAGCAGAAGTCAAAATGTATAGCTTTGAAGGAGATTATAGACGTAAACCGCAACAAAATTTATCTGGTGCTAGTAAAAGAGATGAGAAAGCAATTTTCCTACAGCATGCACAATTGGAACGTTTAAAGCGACAACAACAACGTATAAGGCATGATGCTGCTGTAAAAATACAAGCTCATATTCGTAGCTTTGTAATTAGGAAGATTAATCGCATGCACATGAGATCTGAATTTGATAAAGTACAGCAAGCAGTTGGACAAAGAGGTTTAAATTTGGATGAATTAGTATCTCAAAGTCGAAAATTATTATTTTTTTACAATCGCACATTGGATGCAAATAGGCTTATTTTGATATTACAACAATTTCTCAAAAATCAACAGGAAATTAAATTAAGATGTTTACACTCTGTTGAATGGTTATGGAGGTTACGGTAAGTTTATTATTATACATAAAATTAAAAAGATTTTTGTATATCTTTGATATGAACGAACAAACATACAAATAAATTGTTAATAAAATATACCATACTTTTATTTCTATTACTTTTACATTTACATTTTAATTATAGTAAAAAAAAATTGTAAAGTATATATTTTTAATTATTATAGATGGATTCTTCGTATCTGTATGCAATATAATTCAGAAACATCAATTGGTGGAGCATATTCATTGGCTATCCCTTTAAGAGCAATGGAAGTATTTACGGATGAAGATGTTACAGAGAAAATGTTTCATAAAAATAATAATTTATATTTTGAGAATATATTTATTTATCTAATAAAACATAGATATTTTGAACAACTACGAACTTTAATAGATGAAAAAGTTCCACCTATGTTACAATCATCTTCTAATGCTCCAACACCAATATCCAAATGCTTGCTAAATATGCTACTGAGACCTTTACAGTTAGTTTCTTTTTTGGAACAAAGAAATGGACATTATATATTAATTTTACAAGAATTTTGTAAAAACATATTATCACAAAAATTATCAAGTGCTATAAAAATGTTTATTATACCTGCTCTAGCAGAATTTCCAGAATTTCCATATATACAATTGATTAATTGTATTAATCAATCAGGAATAGAACCAACGTTAAGTTTATTATATTCAATTTTGTCTTTAGAATCCAAACAAGTCAGTAAGTATTCAAATTATTTTATAATAATAATTATTGTTAAATTTAATAAAAATATATTAATTATGCATTTTTTATTAATATAGCGTTATCCAAGTTCAAAACCACTCCGATTAGTTATCTTCAGATTCTTGCTTCGATGAGTTCTGCCATTATACCTGCTGAAATAATCACTGATGAACATATAGAAGACATGGAAGATTCGGATAGTGAATATAACACTAATATGCTTGATCTTGAAGAAGGTGATACGTTACAAGAGTGTATCGACATGCTTAATGAACAGCAGCATGTGTATCGAATACTTCAAATACTTGATCAAGGTCAGGATCTTATTATACTACAATCATTGTGTGAACTATGCCATAACTTATTAATTCATAATAAGCTAGCTACACATAAGTACAAGCTATTATACATGCTTGCCTTTAAACCTGAATTTTTAAAATATTTATGGACAGCATTGTTGTCAGTGTATCAAACATCTGTATTCGGAGGAGCTGCTCCATTACTGCAAGTTATTTCACGTGGTATACCTCTTTCTGCAGAGGATTCAAAAAAAATAGTTCCATTGCTAGATGTGTTTTGCTCATTGTTTTCTTTACTTATTGCAACATTACATGATTCAGAATTTTTTATTCAAGAATCAGATCAAATATCAAATGATAATATTCAACAGGCTATGCCATTTACTACGACAGAATTAGTGACATTATCTATTCACTTGAAAGAAGTATGTTTGGGTTTGGTCGAACTTGCTTTTCCCGATACAAGACCAACTATTGGAGAAGATTATAAAAATGCTTTGGGTTCATCATGTACAATACGAACACCTTTAATAACACACATAAGGACGCATTTGTTTAAAGTTACCGTTGGTCTGTTACGTCAATTACATACGAGAAATTTAAGAAGACCATTTTGTCCACCAGATCATTGGATTACATCAAACATTGTTATTCCTGTAGATAAGCCACAAGACTTTACATTTCGTAGACGTAGACTTAGAGGCTATGTACCGTTTCAAGGATTAAGAGGTTTAACGCGTGAAGACCTGAAAGAAGGTCCACCTTTGTCAGCAAAAGAAGTTCGAACTTTAACATTACTTCGTGAGATGCCTTTTGTTATACCGTTCAATGATCGTGTTGTAGTATTTCAGTCATTAATTTATCATGATAAAAAAGAGCAACAAGGTGAATTTACTCACTTTGCCCAGAAACCATCAATCCAAATAACTGTAAGAAGAAATTATTTGTATGAAGATGCATTTGAAAAATTATCACCAGAAAATGAGCCAGAATTGAGATTAAAAATGCGCGTTCAATTCGTCAATACAGCTGGATTAGAAGAATCTGGTGTCGATGGTGGAGGATTATTTAGAGAATTCTTATCGGAATTATTGAAAACAAGTTTTGATCCTAATAGAGGATTTTTTAAACATACAAAAGACAATATGCTGTATCCAAATCCAACAGTACATTTGTTAATGGATGATTTCCCAAAACATTACTATTTTATTGGTAGAATTCTTGGAAAAGCTTTATATGAAAATTTATTAGTAGAGCTCCCATTTGCAGAATTTTTCTTATCAAAAATCGTTGGATTACAATCTGACGTTGATGCTCATCACTTAGCTTCTTTGGATCCAATCATGTATACAAATCTTTTATCCTTAAAAAGTTATAAGGGAGATGTTACTGATCTTGAATTGGATTTTACCGTACTATCCGATGAATTGGGAGAGAAAAGAATAGATGAATTAAAGCCAAGCGGTGCTAATATTCCTGTTACTAATCATAATCGTATCGAATACATACATCTAATGGCAGATTATAAATTGAACAAACAAATTAGAGCACAATGCTATGCATTTAAGCAAGGTATTGGCAGTGTAGTTCCCTTAGAATGGTTACAAATGTTTAATAACAAAGAACTTCAAGTATTAATATCAGGAGCGCAAATTCCTGTAGATGTAAATGATTTAAAATTACATACAAATTATACCGGTGGATATACACCTGATCATCCAACTATCACTGCCTTTTGGAAAGTTGTAAATGAATTTAATGATCAACAAAAAAGTAAGCTGTTGAAATTTGTTACAAGCTGTAGCAGGCCACCACTTTTAGGATTTAAGGTATTACATTATTATTTATAATTATTAATAAAATATAATTATTACGATTCACTTTTTATTTTATTATAAATATAGATATATAGATTATATTATCTATATTTTTTTTTTTTTTCTTTTTTTTTTTTTTTTGATTTTAGGAACTTGATCCACCCTTCTGTATCCAACATGCTGGCAGTGTAGACCGCTTGCCAACTTCTAGTACCTGCATGAATCTTCTAAAACTTCCTGACTTTCCTAATGAAAAAACATTACGTGAAAAGCTTCTATATGCAATAGAAGCTGGTGCAGGATTTGAACTCAGCTAAAGCTGTATTTTGAAAGTAATTTTACAAGTTGCAACAAAAATATTGATGTGTATGCACAATATAGTATAGCTATTATGTGTAATCTATAAATAATTGGAATCATATTGATGTATTTTGTTAATGGGTGCAGTTTAAAAGTCTGCTCAAAAATTTGTTTACTGGATGCTTCATATGTATCATACATATATTGTTTTAGAAATAGATAATGGATCCTGAGATGTAAGTATTAATACAAAGTCAACAAACTTACATTAATAATAAGTAGGAAGAGGTATAAAAATTAATTAAGGAAGGCACTAAATATGTAACACTGTTAGGAGGGGCCAACTATCTAGTTAGTGTTTGTTGTCTAATAATTTGTCTAACTATGATGAAAATTGCTACTGATATCAATTGACAAGTAATACTATTTATATTAACATGACGGATCTATTGCAGTAATGTATATGTATGCTACATAAAACATTATATAATAATTACAAAATACAGATTTCTATTTCCGTCAATATACTCAAGAAATGATTGAAATTGTGTGGTCTAAAGTGGTACTTGTCGTATAAACGATCTACCTATACTTTTTGCTAGAAAATACCTCTGATCCAAGCGACATTGCGGAATTCACTTAGAGTGAATTACTTTAACATAATACTTCGAGTAACTATTTCATGTAAACATTGCGCTAATAGCAATGTATATCGGAGAATAATGAATTTACGAAAAAATTTATTTACTTTTTTTTTCTGTTTTTTTTTTCTGTTTTTTTTTCTTTTTTTCTTTTTTGTGTCTTCAATGTATCAAACAATTTTTGCATTAACGAATAAAAGAAATGAAAAGTTGCTCAAAGTAATTTAAATAAGTCTTCGCTCTTTGTGCGTACGTATTTGTCAATTTTTCTGCCCATGGCCTACAATTGTAAATTGTGTATATTTTCATGTTTTATATTTACGATGAATGTTTATAAACCATTTATTCAGTGTAAATAAAATAACTTAAAACTTTGTTTCTGTCGTGCACTTTATAAATAAATATCATCATTATAATTCAATGAATTATCGATTGTTAAGGCACAGAAAAAAGACAATAATATTAAAATAATCATAAATATTATTCTATATCATATTTATATATAACAGTAATACGTATAATTATACGTTAAAGAATATTTACATTGTTTAATGCTGTTATATCAAACATAACAGGTTACATCCTATTGTTAATGTGATCGGGCGATTTCTGAAAAAAATTCTAAGATATCCTGAGTCGTAAATTCAAGTGTCACCATGCTGTCTGGATAACAACGTTGCACTGATTCTTCAATGTATATGTATTGGGCGATGAATTCACCTTGCATTTCACGCCAAACGACCTATGTAATAAATATATTAATTTCATCAATATAAAATTTACAATAATATAATATAATATATAAAAGATTTTTAATTGAAAATAATACCTGTAATAAATTTTCTTCTTCGCAAAGATGTTTCTCAACCTTACGGTACAAATTTTCTAAGCCTTTTTTTACTTCTCGGGCAGGATATTCCTTTATAACTCGTCGAAGTTCTTGTTTACTAAAAGCCATTTGATAACAGATTTCTGATTCTTTTACACCAGCTCCAACTTTTGCTTGTACGCCCTCAAAGAAGAGCTGAAAATTTTATCATTATTGAATTGTGTCTTTTTAAAACTCAATTACATCATATGTCACATGTAGCATACATACATATACATATATATATATATATACATACACGCAATATGTCAAGTTTAGATGTATACAATACATTTAATTATTTCTTAGGCTATCAAAGATACGATAAAATTGACAGTTTAATTCATAGGAGTAAGTACAATGATGTATTTGATTTTTTTCTTTTTTCGTTTCTTGTAACATTTAGTAAATAAATCATAAAAAGTGTACGTATATCTTGTTATGTATTATAGGATAGAGCTAATATAACTGTACTGTCTACCATTTAAAAAAGATAAAGATAACGTAAAAATTTTGACGAATATAATGACTTTATCAAAAGAAAAAGATCCAATTACATCACTGTGCTTATCCTTTTAAGGTAAACAACTTTTATTTAATAAAAAATTTGTTCGTATCTTTGTTAGACTAATAAATAATTATATGTACACATTTAAGTCGGACATATATAAATACATATAGTGTAATTTTTATAAAATAAACACACATATACATAAAACTAACATTAAGTTTTTCTAGAGGTCTACCAAAATATTGTATCACATATGCACGAAGTGCTTCCTGATATCTTTGTTTCGCTTCCTTGCGTTCTTGATCTAATACTGAGATTTTTACTTGTGATAAAAGATCATACATATGATGGAAGTTTTCTGGAATAAAGAATAATTTGGATTCCTGATGTAAAAAAGAAAAAAGAAAAGAAAAGAGAAATAAAAAAAAAAAAATAAATAAATAAAAGTAAGTTTAAAAAACTTACAAAACATAGACATTAATTTCTTACCCATTTTTATGACCTCAGGTGGTGTTTTATGATGTTCTTTACTATGAATAACAATAGCTTCAAATATTTTGTTAACTAATTTGGTATACCATTTTTCTAAATCAACCTTTCTATCAGAATGTTTGAAAATTTTTTCAGCTGTTTTTGCAAAAAGTCCAAAATTTGCAACGTATGGCAATATACCGCATTTATGTCGTCGATTAACTTTAGTATCTGTTAAAATTGATTGTTGCTGTGCTTGCATAAATTTATCAAAAGCCCTTTTTACTTGAATTAAGGCAGATGCAAAAGTCATTGATAAGAATGATCCAGTATCTTGAGCAGACATAACGTGCTGTGACAAACGAACTAAGACATACATACACCAACTGAAAATAATGTCTAAATGTTATATGTTTAATATATAAAAATGGCATTCTATATTGTAATATAAAATTTATAAAATAATTTGTAATATTGTTCTTATAAATTTTAATTTTAATTTTAATTTTAATTTTAATTTTAATTTTAATTTTATATAAAAATACTCACAAACTATCAACTTTGTCTAAAAAGGCAATAAAGTTATTTAATTCTGTTTCCAGAGATGGAAATATAGCTGACATTGTACCACGCACTTCTTCATTTACTTGCCGTTCTAATTTTTTACTTGCTGTTGAAGTTACTGAGCCAGGACTTGCAGCACCATTATTTACACATTCTGTTTCTTCCATTTCATTGCTCTTGTGAAATGATTTAAGATATGTATATTAAAATTTAATTGGTAATGTAAAATAATATTATAATCATACATAATATGTCTTACATTTGAAGGTGTAAGAACCGAATCTAATTGAAGAAATGAAATACAAAAAGCCTGTTCTGCAAGGCATACCGGTTGCATCTGAGATAATACACAATCTAATACAGAATCTAAAAAACGGCCTTCGCTTATAGGCGGCCAAATTTCTGCACTAAGAAGACACATGGGTGCTGGATTAATTAAGTCTTCAGCTTTTTGTCCACTAGATTTCGAAGCATGAACTAAAAGGGTAATATTAATAACAATTCCATTATATAATAAATAATATATCAAAGATGTTAAAGCTGCAGTTTTTTTTTTTTTTTTTTTTTTTATACCTTGTAGTCGTTTGCTGATGAGTTTATTTTTTGCTATTTCAAAAAAATGTTTTAAATCTCTCTTGTACAATTTACTCATTGTATCCCTATATACTTTAGCAAGCTGCAAGAAAGCTTTATTATCTAAAGCTCTCAATAATTGCATTAATTCAGTATATGGTTCTAATTCATGATGAACAGCTTCATGCGTTGGAAGAATTAATTCTGAAGAAGTTATATTTTCTCCGGTATCATTACCCTATAAAAAAAAAAAAGATATATATATATATATATATATATATATATATATATATGTATATATATATATATATATACATATAGGGACAATTTACATATGTTATAAAATATAAATGTTATCAATACAATAGGAAAATAAAGAATGTTTTCATGAAAATTCAAAGAAAGTGGTGCATACCAAATGTATAAAAAGATTGTTCAAATGTCTGGCAACGATAACAGAAAATTTTGTTTTAAGTTTCTCTAGACGCTTTTTCTGTTCTGTTACTGCATTTAATTTATCAAGACCAAGTGGTAAAGGGGCTGTCATTGCTTTCAAGAGTGCTGCCCCTGCAAGACTAAGTTCTTCCCGTCCACCTGGAAGCTCGGCTTCATTTAAAATACGATGATAATTCGCAGGTATATCAAGCTGTGACTATAATAATAAATAAGAAAAAATATTTCAAAAAAAAAAGAAAAAAAAAATAAAAAAAAAAAAAAAGCAAAGCTACAATTAAGAATTTATACTCATATAATTATATTTTCACTTATATACATACAATTGCTGCACTTAATTGTTCTAATAAGAAACTAGCATTATTGTTAGCTGTATGTATCGCTTGATTTTTTTGTCCAACCCGTGCCATAACTTCTCTGATTCTACCAAGTGCCTCATCATAAGCAGCAAGACGAGCTTCAACTATAGAAGCTTCTTCTACAGCAGCTTCAATACTTTTCATTAATTGTGCCACTTGGGGCTCAGAACCTAAGACTAACCGTACATTTTCCTATAAACATATATATATATATATATCATGCCTTGTATAATAATGATAAAGCATTAAAAAGTAATAATATTGTTAGATTATTAATGATATAATTTATGTAAATATGAAATTCATTAAAACATTCATTGTTCTAATTATAATCAATAAAATACTAATGACATATTACCCCATCAAGAATGGATAGATCTTTGGAAAGTGTTTCCATAAAGAGTTCAGCATTTGAAACGGCATAATCACAGCCTTCTATTAATTGTTTCAAATCACAAGCTTCTTTTTCTGTAATAGGCTGATAATCCGATGAACTGGGTGGTATTAAAAGTTCTGGAATATAATCCATCACGTTTGACGAATTTATTGTTTCTCACTGAACATCATCAAACTAAATACTCATATGTCATATACAACGCGCACGCAATAACGTAATAAATTCGTAAAGCTATATATCTTTTATATAAAAGAAATGTGTTATAAGAGTTATAACTATTAGATATTAGTATTGCAAAATTGTTTAGTTCCTCGTTTTACGTATATTTTATTACTATATTTTATTTTGGGTGAATTCTCATGTGTCACGACGCGTCATGATTTTTGGCGCGAATTCTCAAAATATCATATTGAATATAATTTAGACACATTTAATATTAATTAAATAGGATGACTAATATGAAGTGGTTAACAATATAAGTTAATAAATCACTTGTTTAACATTAAAATATTTAATTTTAATTCTACGCATGATCATTAAACAAAAATATTCATGTTTAAGTCAATTGTATGCAACAGTTACAAAAAAAAATTAGTAAATCAATGATTTCGATAGTTAAAGTATTTCTCATATTCTATAATAGTAGATTAATAATAATGCATTTCCATAAACATTAAAGAAATGGTTTAAATCTCGTTAGAAAAAGAAAATCATTTTAATTTCCAATACCAATAATTTAATATTATTATCTCAACTTAGTTGGCCTTGTGTAATATAAACACATAGTGTAATATAAATGAAGGCAATCTTTCTAAACCTTGACGATCACCGATTTAGTTCTCTTTTGGATTTCGACGAGTGAGCATCGAAACTGTTTCTTTCTAAACGCGAAAACATATAAATTAATAATTTCGATAATTTTATGAATGCTTAAATAATATTTAATGCACACGGAGTGCAACGAACTAATATTTACACAATAATACATTTGTTTAAAAAATACAAAGATCCTAATGCACTAGAAACAAAAATTTTAATTTAAAATTCCAGTATTTAAAAATTTTTATCTCGGCATAATCGGCCTTGTGTAATATAAACATAAACGCGCTTTTTCTAATTCTAAACGATCATCCCGTTAGTTCTCTTTTGGATTTCAACGAGTGAGCATCAAAGCTTTTTC